AATTGTAGCGAATTGAACATTTTTTATTTATTTATTTGAGGTTTTAATGTCTACCTAAAGCAGGACGACAGTACAATAGTTATGCTTGGAAAAGAGTGGAATATACCCACATTAAAAACCAAGATCTTTTCAATCAAAATCAATTCAGATTTCAATATTTAATCAGTATAATACTAATAGCAAAATAAGTTATCACAAAATTTCACTACAAAACGTAAATAACAAAAGTATAGAATTCAAAACAAAATTCGATGTCAATAAAAATTACAACAATAGTTGCTGGTCAATAAATAAATCAAATAGATATCAAAAAAATTAGTCTCTTGCACTACGTTAAGCAAAATAAACAGTTAATACTCTAAAATCAGTCATAAATTATCATCGTCATAAAGTCTGTTTCTGTTATCATGGGCAATCGATTCCTTCATCAAACTCAGTTTATTTAGCAGCAGATATAATCCCGTAATCCGTCATTTAAAAGTTTGTATTTGAAATTAATGAACGGTAAAGTTGGATCAATAAACATCGAGGCATGATTAAAAGCTCGGCAGGCAATGTTAAATGGTGAATTTAGTCCATAATCCGTGCTACAAAATTGGACTTTAATGAATTCAGGATTCCTGATGGTTCTTCTTCCAGTGTTTATCTGGATTTGATTGCGAATCATTGCATCATTATATTTTTCGGAAATAATTTTATGCAGAAACAGAATTGCTGCATTTAAACGACGACGAACTAATGTCACTAGTTCCAACTCATACAAAATACGGCACTAGTTGATAGTTGTTTTCTTCTCTGTTCAAATAATCACCATTTAGATAGATAACTGCTTGTTTCTGCACACTTTCAACCGAAATCCTGTAGCTTTTGTGATGTGGTAGCTAAATGTTACTGGCAAACTCTAAATTAGACCGTACTAAAGAGCTATATAGTAGTTTGGAACATTTTATGCCGAATTTCCGTCTACAAGTTCTCTTAACAAATGCCAACATTGACGTTGATTTATTTTTCATCAATTCAATATGTTTAGAGAAACTGAGCTTATAATCAATAAACACACCCAATTCTCTAATTTCAGTGACTCTTTCAACCATTTTCCCATTGATGAAATAATTATGAACTATGGGATTTCTCATATGTGTCAATGTCAATAATTTACACTTTGCAATGTTCACCTGAAGCCCATTCTAATCACACTACCTCATGAAATCATCAATTGAATTTTGAAGATCCAATGCATCGTCCTCTCTCCTAATTATTCTAAGTAATTTCTTGTCATCGGCAAAGTTTAATGACGAGACTGATCCATTGTTGTTGTCGGAATCATCGAAAAAAATCAAGAATAATAGTGGTCCCAAAATTGTTCCCTAACCAACTGACGATGGAGCCGCGAATGATTCAGAAACTGATCCGTTTAGTCTCACATATTGTTTACGATTTGAGAAGTAGGAAATAAACCAACGAAGCGAATCATTGCTAATAGGAAATCGTGCCATTTTTCTAATTAACAGGGGTTGATTTACCACATCAAACGCCTTCTGGATGTCAGCATAAAAATGTCTAATTGCTTTTTTTTTCTTCAAACGCTTTGGTCGCGTGCAATGATAACTCCATAAGATTGGTTTCGATATTTCGATTTGGAAGAAATCCATGTTGGGTTTTGGACAGTAATGGCGTTATCGACAATTTCAGTTGTTTATGAATAATAATCTCAAAGACCTTGGCCAAATTCGCTTCAAATATCAGATCTTTTACCACATTTGAATATGGGGATAGTTTCACCGATTTTTCATTGTTTTGGAAATTGACAGTCTATGATTGACTTTCTAAAAATCTTCATCAGTGGATCAGCCAATAAGTCAGCACATCTTCGGAGAAACAGAGG